GTCTTTGGCTCTCACTCTATTGTTCTTTATCTGTTTCTGTGTGTATCTCTCTCTGTGTGTCTGTGTCTGTTTTTCTCTATGTCTGTGTTTGTTTTTCTTTATCTCTCTCTGTGTGTATGTCTTTGTGTCTGTGTCTTTGTGTGTATATATATATATATACATACATATATATATATGTGTCTAGACAGTTTTTGGAAAAATAAAAAAAATGTTTCCCCCTTTTTGTTTTTACATATATGTAACCTTTTTCTTTTTTTTACATTTTTTTTTTACAATTTTTTACATTTTTTTCTTCTGCTTTTACTGTCTTTTTATACGTAGTTTATATGTCTATGTATATTTAACTGTTTTTTTCTTTCTTTCTTCTAACTTAAGTGTCTACACAGTTATAATTTGACAGATGAAAAGTTTCATATGTCTGTTAATAAAACTTTATTTACCTTTCCTGTGTTGTCAAACATTGTGTTCCTTCAACATAAATATATAAATACATAACTTCACTTTGTAAGAAAAAGTGTAATAAAAAGTGTTGAAAAAGAAACATTCTTTTACACTTTCACAAACAGCTTTTGCCACCTTCCGCCAAAGCAGCAACCACAAACTCTTGCCACCTCCATCGCACAATTTCACGCCAACACTCCATCCTCCACGCTGCGCCGCCCCTCCGAGCGACTCGGGGAACACTGTGTCTGCCAAGTTGGCCTAACTTGCCACACACCGTCTTCCCCGAACCCCACTCTCCGCTGCTGAAGATGGACTTCTTCTTCTGCTCTCTCTGTGAAAACACAAAACACGTGTCAACAACACTCACTCTGCACATCCCTCCCGTCTGCTGCTTCTTCCTCCTCCACCTAAACCTACCTCTAAGTGGTTCAGGCGTCCTCAGCCACATGTGAGGATGTGACAATCCATGTCACCCCTGTCATACCTCGCTCCATAACAAAGGTTCATCTATTCTAACTTTACATCAAAGACACTCTCGATGAATGTGCATCACTGACTACATCCGACTCTCTAGACATCAATCCACATTTAACTCTTTCACTCTGCTAATACAGCACGGTTCCTCATCTAATCTTGGTCCCCATCCTTCCTTTTATTTCTTTTACCCCATAAACAACACACCCTTT